TACTTTTGGGCAGTTTCGGTTGAGCCATTCGCCGTTCACTGTATATTTGATTTCGAATTAAATTAACGTCGTTAACAGACATGTGGCTCAAGCAATCTACATTTTCTTTCAACGCACTATGTATGATTTTGGACGGCCCTTCGGTCAAATTATCCTTAGCCTTCCTTTTGGCACTGCTACGCACAATCTGTTTATTAAGTGTCTTGATATCACACTCGTGATTATGTTCTAGATTACTTCGGATCACTAACTTTTCTGGCCCTTTCATGAATATCTTCGCTTTGCACGACCGTTTTACGCACCTCCAATACGTTTCTCCCGATTTTAGTACTGTATCTTGAGAAAAAGTAAAACTGTTTACTTTGAGCAAAATTTTACTACGATTACTAACTAACGTTGAAATTTCCATGTTCACTTTTTACTATTCTCTGACAAACTAATAACTAGTAACTAAGTAAATTTCAATGACCCCTAATTATATCTAATTAGGATTTCATTAAACCCTAAATATATCTAATATCTGGTACCTGCGATAATCCTTGTGGCAGCGTCCAAAACAAGGGTACTTTTAAGACCCTCATGTACTTCAGCGTCGAAAACATGCCCGCCCGATTATTTATTGATCGCAATAAAGAAAAGCCCTCATTCCGGTCTAAAACTTCACTAAATTTATCTTTCATTATTTTGCAATTGTCCCTGAAAGGTTTACTATTCTTTCTTTTTGACAGAATTAACAATGCAAATACTATCAATTAAAGATAATTTTTAACTCTCTAGTTTTGTAATGGAGTTTACAATTATGTCAAAATTTGCTTTTATATAGCCCAGTTTATTCGGAACAGAATTCTCACTAAAAATATTTTGACATTTCTGAACAGGAATACAACAAGAAGGATCAAAATTTAATATAAAATTTTTAATATTAGTATAACTATTTGCAAGAAATATGGCACGATTCAACCACGTCCCCCATCTGGCAGACAGAGGCAGAGGCAGAGAAATATAATGAATTAAATTAGGAAAAAAATCTTAAGACTAGTAACAGCTTTAACCATGTAGGAAGCGACATCGCTAACTAGTAGCAAAATTTTTTCAGAAGGTACTTAATTCCGTAAAAAGAAATTTGTCAAAGATTCATTAACAAATCGAGCAATTGTTGCATAGTTTATTTTTTTCTAAACATTTTACGCTGATTAAATACGACTTGTTGGAGTCATCAGCTGAACTGTTTAAAAGTCCAATAAGTAAATTCGTGATTTGCCGACCCTTGGCGTCAGAAGTCTCGTCGACAGATATCCACAGATATTCATCTCTTTCTCGGCTTTTAATACCTTCAATAACGTCGTTGTAAGATGCCCTCACATATTTCTGGCGAAGAGTTGAAGAACTTGATACCTGTACTGACTTATTATCAATATATTTTCAAAAAAATTTGACACACCTTGCTATCCAATTTATACAGTGGGATATTGCAACTTACAAAAAAATTGCATACATATTTTGCAAACATTTCTTGCCCCGTCGATGTGTGACGATTTTGAATAATGTTGTTCTGCAGAAGCTGTTGGCGTGGTTTCTTGAAATCCTCAGATAGTTTATATTGGTGGAGAGCCATTTTAAGGTGTTGGGAAATTTGGAATTTTTTTCACATGGAATCTGTAATAAAACGGTTTAGTAAATAGGAGTCTAATGTAATAATATGGACTTCAAATTTTAAAGATAACTTATATTTTTTTTCTCGAAACTAAAACTACCGCCAATAGTCAAACTGTTACATGTTTAGTATAGGTATGTCGATTTTCTTGCAAAAATGAGATTTTAAATTAAATTTTTGAATCATTAAAATATAAGCGGACTTACCTTTTTATCACAAATAGTACAGAAAACACTTTCATTATCTATAATCTTCATTTCACTGTTTCCAACAACCCAACACCGCAATAGACTTGATTTTTTTTTCGCTACTTTCGGCATATTTTCAAAAAAGAAATTATTTTTATTTTATAAGCACAATATTCACAATCACAAGTTGCTTTGCCAGCTGATAAAAAGAATTTAATACTTGCATACTTCATAAAAAAGGAGATGCTACCGACCTCAGGAATTACAGACCCATAAGTCTACCTTTACATATTTATAAACTATTTACAAAAATAATTACGAAACGACTAGAAAATAAATTGGAATTTTATCAACCCATAAAACGGGCGGGTTTTAGAAAAGGCTATGGAACAAACGATCACCTACTGGTAATAAAAATTTTTATAGAAAGTGCACTGAATATAATAAACAAAATATATATAGCAAATCAACAAAAATGTTGGAAGCCTTGACAGAATGCCGAATTGACTATCGGTATATAAATTTAATTAAACACATATACCAAAACGCAACAGCCAGTGTTAGAGTCGTGATCGTCAAACCCAGAAATTCCCGATATAACGTGGAGTACGCCAGGGGAACACCATATCGCTGAAACTGTTTACTACGCTTTTGGAATATCTATGTAAAAGGGCAAAACTGACCGACAAGGGCAAAAACATAAACGGAGAAAAGCTTAACCATCTAAGGTTTGCAGATGATATTGTACTAATAGCTGATAGAATAGATGAGGCCAAAGAACTTTTAAATCAGCTCTACCTTTCCTCGCTAGAAGGGGGATTGGAAATAAATATATCTAAAACCCAGATGATGACAAATCTTATAATCAGCGAAGATATATGCTTAGGAAGAAGATCCATAGACCGGATAATGGCCTATAAATACCTAGGTCATGAGATCCGCTTAGGAATAGATAACCAAACGTTGAGCTTCTCCGTCGTATAAGACTGACTTGGGCAGCCTTCGGCAAGCTGAACCAGTTTTCAAATCGTCTTATACACCAATATGCCTTAAAAGAAAAACCTTTAATCAGTGTGTTTTGCCGGCGTTGACTTACGGTGCGGAAACGTTGACCATGACAAGGAGAATAGTTCAAAAGATCCGTGTGTGTCAAAGGGCGATATAGCGTGCTATGTTGGGCGTTTCACTACGAGACAAGATCCCAAATCGCCATCTACGATAAAGAACAGGAGTGGCTGATGCAGTAGAGAGAGTAGCAACACTGAAATGGAACTGGGCAGGTCACGTGGCTCGAATGACAGATCATAGATGGACAAAGCGGATACTGGAATGGAGACCAACAGATGATGCCTATCGAAGCAGAGGTCGTCCACCAACACATTGGACTGACGATCTAAAACGTTGTCATAGGAATTGGATGCAAGAGGCACAAGATTGAAATAGATGGAAAATTATGAGGGGGATCTATGTCCAGCAGTGGATAAGCGAAGATTGAATAATGATGCATAGAGGTTAACCTTTTTCTAAAAAAAAGCAAAACAAGATCTGTTATGTTTAGTTATTTACTAAATGTTAAAAAAATAAAGCTAGCTGTCAGATGTCAACATTAAATTTTAAAACTGACAACAATTAATATGACAGCTAGGCCACACCCTAACATCTACAATTTTAATTATTACAATTTTTTAAACTGTTATAAAAGCAATTATTATTAGAAAATGTTCATTTTTCCTTTAAAAGTTCAACAAAAAAAGTTACCCGGATCTCACTAAAATTTCTTTAAAAGTTCTGGGGTTAGAAACTGGACTTACACTGCAAACACAAATGCACCTCCAAACTGCGGATATATTCTGAAACGTCTTAGGACATACAAAATGAGGCTGGTAGTTAGGTACTAGACGCAAACTCCGCTTCTTAAAAAACTGAAACACATGTAGGTATCTTTCAAAGTTGTTGTAAACGGCACAAATCTCTTAGATACTTAGAAACAGTGATTACTCTTTTGAAACTGTTACATTACATTAAGTATAAATAACTTTTTCAAAACAAATTTGCTGGTTCTTAACGCCTACATCCGCCTGCGTTTTTTCTATTCAAATATTCTCCCAAACCTCTTTAAATTTCACATAAAACTTCACACTGCTACTATATTACACATTTTCCATGACAAAGAACGAAAAACAAAAAACACTACAATTTTCAAGAAAAATTTGTCAAACACTGAAACCAACTGACCCTGGCTGCGGCTCCAGCGAGAGTGAGTAGTTATCTTTAAAATTCATTCGCTCAAATTGGTGTAAACAAAACACATAAACGGGAATATTTATTTATTGCGCAATAATAAGCGGCTTAACGATAAAAAAAAATACCAAGAAAATACACATATATGATATATAAACAAACTTTAAAATGTGTTTATATCAACTAGTCGATGCAAAAAGGATTGAAAATACTTTTTCGATGTTTTAATAAATACATTTCAATACATATGGAAGAATATAAAAATGCTACCATCTGGCTTTTCCATCATTATAATATGAGCATTTTTCCACTGGAATAAGAAATGGCTTAACTGCAGCATTCTATTATAGATAATAGTAAGCATGAGAACTGCTTTCCTAGGTAAATTTTTTAGGATTCTCCCATCAATTAAATCGTATCCTGGGGCTTGGTGGGAGCTAGTGCTCATTATTATTCTACAAACTTCGTTTGTCCCCTCCCAATTTTATATATTTTTATATTCTCCCAATACAAATTGACGTATTTTTGGGTGGTCAAATTTTTAGAAAAGGCGTAGAAAGCTTGAAAAAGTGAAAACACTGTAGAGTAATGTCACGGCGCCAATGCCTTTTTGAACTATGCTCAACGCCGACTCAATACTATTGAATAATTGAATAACTATATGTATTATGTGGTAAAGATATAAAGTAGGGTACTTTCTTCACATACTTCACCATTTGGCAAATTAAAGATATGCGATTGCACTACATTTTATTAAAATAAACAAAACACTCGCATATATATTTTTGTTAATATCTATATTATTCTTTTCAGGTTCGATCGTTAGAGGTCGGTCCAACTTTCGTTGAAAAACTTTTGCGGTATGGCAAACGATTTCTTCGTTTGCCTAGTACGTCATCAAAATGTTAACGCTAACAATGCGAAGGGAAGATAGAACTAAAGTGCCAGTGACAAACCCCAACGAAGAATTTGTGGATATTTTACAAGTACAACAGTTGCTGCTCAATGAAACTCGTCGCGAACAACAAGCTTCTTCGCAGGCTTCTCTATCACAAACTTCGGCCATGTTGGTACAGCACCAATCTCACGGTAGAGCTGTGGAAGTTCCACCTGGATATTATTATGGAGCGTATCCACCTGCGGCGGGTCCTTCGACGCCGACCTCGACGAGTGTTGATGAGTTGGTAGCGATGTGGTTTTCGGGTTCTCAGGCTACCGGTAAGTTAATTTTTGTTGTAAATACCTGCTATCAAGCAATTTATTGCAAGCTAAGTTTTTATTTTTCTTTGGTTTAATTAAAAAATATATTCCTAAAATTATTTCCAATCAGAATCATAGACCATATTGTATGACCTTAACGAATGTATTGTATACAAAATAAAATCATATATGTTGGAAGAAATACTTACTAAAAAAACAAGACTAACATTATCTAGGAATAACTTTTCTTAATTTGAAATATTCTTTGTATATTATATGACTCTGCTAATTTTTTCAAATGTTTACAAAAAAGCCACTTAAAAAAAGTGCTGTAAATTCAGGCCCCTCGTTTTCCTCGTATTTCGTACCCCCTAAAAATCTAATGAAATATAACTGGTGTAGAAATAATTCACAGTTAAATAAATATACAACTGTATTTCATTTTTAAAATAGATTGATTAACAAACTGTATACAAATCTCACATTTAAGTGACTTAAGATACAAAAATGTCAAAATAAATTAGCTTTTTTATAAAATACGAAGGCCTATGATTGTTTTTAGTTTGAATCTAGTTTACTAGCAGAATCTTACTGAGACAATTAACATGTGCCCAACATTGACCCATTAGGCATTTGATCCACTGTTTACCCGTCACTGACTCGAACCATTGTTCTTTACAGCACAGTTAACATGCACGTCACATCCAATTCATCTGGTGTTTGTCCTGGCCCTACAACAAATCCGATTGAAGATACTTATTTTAGAGACAAGTGATCTTCTTCCTTAGATGAAAATCCCGTGTGTAGGTTTATGCTTTTTACGCTCTTTCTCTAAGTTTTCTTTATTTTCAGCCTCTAACATCTTCTGTTTTGTTCCGGTCGTCTTCCATTTTCCTTTGGCGTCTTTATGTGTTTGATTTTTTGTTTCTGATAGAATGTTTTTAGCAATTTCTGCCTCTAAGTCTGCTTTATAAGGCGACGAAGTGATTATGACCAATTTTCAGGGCTTGAAGCCTCTCCCAGATGATTTTTTTATCAGTTTGGGCACAGGCAAGATTTGAAAGGGCTTGTGTATAATGGAGGAGGATTTGAAAAAAAACTTAATGAGGGGAGATTAGTAGAGGTAGGGGATGAGGTTCTACCAACTGAGTTGAGGTGTACAAGCCATGAAGGGGAATATGTCTTCAGTTCAGATTCACTTAATATTCAGGATTTTTCTCGTCAAGTGTATTGTTCAAATGTACATTTGTGTGATTATCAAATGTACAGCCGTTATTATCTAGATCAATAGGCTTTTCTTTTTGGGCTTCTGCAATGAACTTGGCATCAGAAAACTTGTTTATATCTAATGAAAATATTTCAGTTTGAACCCCATAATAGTCTGTTTTTGCCGTTTGACACTTTATGTAGGCTTAGCCAAACAGCTCCATTACGTCAAATGCTGTCAGAGGGTGTTGGTTTATTAACAACCATTGCCTAATCTCCTGACTATAATCAGTCTTTAAAGCGGACAAAAAAGACCTATCTAAGAGCTGCAACTTATGAGTTAAATAAGGCGGTAAGGAGATGATTATAACATTGTTCTGCCTAGGCTTCTTGAGAATGTCAATATTTCTGATGTGGCTTGTAGGCAAAGACTAAGAGAACAGGTGATTTAGTTGTAGGTTTTGCAGTGCTCAAAATATGGTCGAACCATTTTGTAAATAGTTTATGTTGTTATCATTTTTCAGTTCCTTTTAACTTATTGTCGTCTTTATTTTGGGATTGGGAACACCTTGATTTGGGATTTTTTAGCTGATGTTTCTTTATTTTCATAGTTTGTGCTTCTCAACAGGGTTTATTATCTGTGTTTGATTTTAAATTTATTTCTGCTTTAACTTTTATAAATATTACCCTTAAATGAATTCTTCTTTATTTAAAAAAAAATGATTACATTTTATTTTAACCTATCAATAGCTGGTGCGATAAGACTAGCTGGCTGTAGATATTTCTTTGTTAAATTGTTCCTATATTTAGATTTTTTCCAGCATCCGGTCACTTTGTACAGCTCAACACAGGATGGAGTAGATTATACTCGGTGGATGAGATAAGAAATTAGTCCAATAATGTATTTTTTTCAATTATTTAACAAGAAAGGAAGTATTTTAAGTAAAAATTATTAAAATCACTTATTTTTACAGCGTTATATGTCTTGTAGTGTCACATGTCTCTTAATATTTATAAGCTGTTTACCGTTCTCTGGGACCTTTTTTATTAATAGTAGACACTTAGTGGTTACGCTGAGACAAGTGACATGATACTCCGACTTGATTTATGTTCCTCTGAGCCTATTAATTACTATTAAACTGGGAATAAGCCACAATTAGAGATAAAAATACGTTTATTGACGTTTCAATTTCTACTTCGTAAATCGTTCTCAAAATACAAACAGTAAATTAAACAAATTTTGTTTTTTGTTACATAGTGAAAAATTCTTCTAATAATTTAATTTTATCTGACTCATTTATATTGACAATTCAGACATACATTATGCATTTTAAAGTAGACGACTTTAAAATGATATTGCCAATATTGTTGAGTTGCGCTCCTGGGACGACTTTACTTATAAGATAGTTCATTCGATTACATGAAATCAACTTTAACTTGAGAATATCCGTCAGAAAAAAATCATAGCATGTAATTCGTCTTTAAAAAGACAAACGTATGACATGATGACAGTAAAATTCTCCTGTTAGTGATTCCATAGTAAATTATGAGGGAAAAACCAGGAAAAAAACCTCATAATACTATCCCGACATTGTAAGTATTTGTTCGTGAATTTAGTTTACCTTTATCAAAATTCTGATTTTATATGTTACGTTATTTAAAAAACATAAATGATGTATCCTCTATATGTTACTGACTTACTAATACTGGTATTTTCTTATTAATAACTTCCTCTTTCAATATTGGTAACCAGATCCTACTACATTCTGCCTAGTAATTTGCGACACAATTGGCCTCATTTAGCATAATTAGAGCCGCTTCTTTGATTTTTCTTTTTTTACCATCCGTTTCTTTTAGGACTACATTTGAATTATTCTATTGAACCGTATGTTCATTATTCCATGCGTGTTTACAGATTTGAGATCTATCAAATTCTCTATTTTTAATATAAGATTGATGTTTACTTATTCTAACATTTAATGGCCTTGATGATTCACCTAAATAAAACTGATCGCATTCACAAGGTATTTTATAAATGCAATTCTTTGTTCTTTCTTGTTCATTGTTAGGTTTGGTTTTGGACAAAATAGATCTTAACGTGTTTGTTGTTTTGAATGTTGTTGAAATGTTGAATTTATTTCCTATCCTTTTAAGTTTTTCTGATAGTCCTTTTATGTACGGTATTGTTATTTTCCTCATATTATTCCTTGTGTATGCTGTAAAATCTCGTTCCAAGTTGTTCTGTTCTATTCGATCGATTGTTGAAAATTCCTTATTTATTTTTTTTATTTTTTTCTGACGGATATTCTCAAGTTAAAGTTGATTTCATGTAATCGAATGAACTATCTTATAAGTAAAGTCGTCCCAGGAGCGCAACTCAACAATATTGGCAATATCATTTTAAAGTCGTCTACTTTAAAATGCATAATGTATGTCTGAATTGTCAATATAAATGAGTCAGATAAAATTAAACTATTAGAAGAATTTTTCACTATGTAACGAAAAACAAAATTTGTTTAATTTACTGTTTGTATTTTGAGAACGATTTCCGAAGTGGAAATTGAAACGTCAATAAACGTATTTTTATCTTTAATTGTGGCTTATTCCAGTTTAATAGTAATTAATTTACAATGCCACAAGAAAATAGCTTCAGAACAATATCTGAGCCTATTATCTATAAAAGTGACCAAGTAGCTTATTGCTTTTTCAATATTATAAATTTATGTTTCATATATGTTTTGGAAATTGTTTGAAAAATATCGATCCATATTGATTTAGAAGTATTGCGTATTGCTAGGAAATGGTTTCAACTGTTTAAAAAAGAGATTTTAGGAAATATTAACAACTCTGAAGATACTTGTTAGAACATTTATATATATATATATATATATATATATATATATATATATATAATTGATCAAATACTCTCTTAATCAAATAGAGAGTATTTGATCAATGCATATTACCCGTATTGACGTATGGATGTGAAGCTTGGATATTAAAGAGAGAAATAACGTCGAAACTCCAAGTAACTCAAAGAGCAATGGAAAGATGTATGCTAGGGATAACAAAGAGGGATCGTAAATGAATTGAATGGATACGGAGGCAAACCCAGGTGACTGATGTAATCCAAAGAATAAAATCCCTGAAATGGCAATGGGCAGGACATATAGCAAGACAAACAGACAACAGATGGACCACTAGAACAACTATGTGGTATCCCAGGAACGCTAAGAGACCAAAGAGGCGCCCGAATCTCAGATGGGATTATGATATAAGAAAACTAACAGGAACAACGTGGTCTCGAATAGCACAAGATAGAAAAATATGGACGCAAATGAGCGCAAATTACAAGAACAACGTATAACTAAGACATCGTCGAATACTAATAAGAACATAGAATAACATTGAAATAAGGGAGGCTGCACCGTAATTGGAAACGGTCGACAAAGCTGCACATATATATATATATTATATATATATATATATATATATATATATATATATTATATATATATTATATATATATATTTATATATATATATATATATATATATATATATATATATATATATATAATCATCCTAATAAATATTAAAATTAATTCTCAAATTTTATTTTTCGTTGCATAGTCGTGAAAGTTAAGTCACAATTAACAGGATTTGAGCGATCGTCCTGGTGGACAATATTTTTAGTTTACAATATTTGCATTGTCACACTTTTAAATCGAGTATCTATAAATAAATAGATTAAAAACTGACTAGACCATTAACTTTTATTTGAGTTGAAATCGTACATAATTAGTATCATTTATAGTTTATGTATCTTTTCTGTACTTGGAATGCATTATATTTAATAGGCGAAAACTTATGCAAGCCTATTACGGTGTCATATTATATTTTAGTGCAATTTTTACTTGTGTTATAATAAAATAGACTCTGACAGGTAAGTTATAAATAGAGTAATGGAGTAAGAATAAGAAAATAACTTTAACTGTACACTATAATTTTTAAGTGGCACAAAGTATATATATTATTTTAATACCATACTTAAACGTCTTTGTGTAGGTTAATTGACAACTGATCCGAATATCAATATCACAAGTTGATATACGCCTTTAAACTCCGGAAGCCAGTTCTGATCATCGGTCTCCTCCTACGTCTCCAATTAATACCTTCATCCCAATTAAAATCATATTAAATATTAAGTGTATAGTATTTTATTAATCTAAAATTATTTTTATGAATGAGAAATGGCCATGGCTCGAAAAGTTGATATATAATCGCTACCTACACTAAGTTTTCGCCACAAGGTTGATATATCTCTTATTTATTATCAAAATCTGCTAGAAAAATTAATAATATTTAACCATATGATCAATGTCAAACCTTGTAAATGTGTGTTACCTTTTTTTGTGTGAAAAGAATTAGTACGTTGTTGTCATATAATATAATAAATAAATTATTTGAAGTAATATGGAGTCGATGCAGAATAAAGGCAAAATAATTCTAAGCTTAAAATAATTGGTAAATAATAAAAAAGGTATAACATACAGAGACTTTCAATAAGAACTTCCGAACTTTGAGAGTTGATAGCGACCATACTGTTAAAGTCTGTCAAATTGCCTGTCATTTATACGGTCTGTTTTGCAGTGGATGGGTACAGCGTACAACAAAATGTGTAAATGATAAAATTGTTTTATGAAAATGGGTATTCTATTCGAGTAACGTTCGTTTGGCCCGTTTTACGGTCGTCATAATTGTCGTACTGAAATTACTATTCGCAGTGTTGTAACGACTATTTTGCTTACCACAGGGTAAGACTATGAGTGACAAGATTGGGCAAACAAAACAATCGGAACTAGTGCGTACGGCACTCAGTTGGTTGTTGGAGAGCTGCGTCGTGGATAAGTTGAAGATATGGGGGTTGGATTGGGGCAACTACAAAAAAAAAAAGAAATAAAGGGGTACTTATACAAATCTCTTGGGACAAACAGAAAGAAAATAAACGGAAACACCTCAAGAAATTTAATATAGGGCGCCACTTGAGGTGCCTAATTATACCTATTACAACCACTAGTTGTAACTAGGGAAATAATTATAGAACATCAAAAATATAGAAAAAAAATATCTTTTTCAAATAAAACTCAAAATAGATCAGAGAAACAAATTAAACGTTTATTTTTGTCTCAAACAAACAGTTATCAAAAATACAGATTTTACAAGAACATATTATACAACATAATCCAAATTAATTACTATTAAACTGGGAATAAGCCACAATTAAAGATAAAATACGTTGACGTTTCAATTTCCACTTCGGAAATCGTTCTCAAAATACAAACAGTAAATTAAACAAATTTTGTTTTTTGTTACATAGTGAATAATTCTTCTAATAATTTAATTTTATATTTAATTTATGTCATGTGTTTGTCTTTTTAAAGACAAATTACATGCTATGATTTTTTTCTGACGGATATTCTCAAGTTAAAGTTGATTTCATGTAATCGAATGAACTATCTTATAAGTAAAGTCGTCCCAGGAGCGCAACTCAACAATATTGGCAATATCATTTTAAAGTCGTCTACTTTAAAATGCATAATGTATGTCTGAATTGTCAATATAAATGAGTCAGATAAAATTAAATTATTAGAAGAATTTTTCACTATGTAACAAAAAACAAAATTTGTTTAATTTACTGTTTGTATTTTGAGAACGATTTCCGAAGTGGAAATTGAAACGTCAATAAACGTATTTTATCTTTAATTGTGGCTTATTCCCAGTTTAATAGTAATTAATTTACAATGCCACAAGAAAATAGCTTCAGAACAATATAATCCAAATTAATAAAAACTTACATGTTCTTTGTTTACATAAAAGATTGCTACAAAAA